TCTGCCATGTTTCTGTTACATATATGGGTTTTGTGGTGTTTGAACTTTGAACAGACATTCTGTCGGAAGACCTGCCCCTTCTGCCTCGCTTGATTTGAAACCTTCGGCTTTTGATCCCAAGGAGAAAGTTTGGACAAGATTCCCCCCTGAAGGATCCAAGTATACTCCACCTCATTCATCCACAGAGTTTAGATGGAAGGATTATTGCCCTGTAGTTTTTAGGTATGGGCTCTTTTCTGCTTGCTCTTTTGGACAAAAATGATACCAACTTCTTAAGTTACCAATAATTCATATATTAGTTCATGCGTTCTAGTTGCCCGTCTTAAATATGAACAGTCCTCTAATCATCAACATATGTAACTTGGTCTCCCATTATAATCTGTCCTCAGGACTTTAAGGAAGCTATTCAAGGTGGATCCAGCTGATTACATGATATCCATATGTGGAAATGATGCCCTTCGTGAATTTTCCTCTCCTGGTAAAAGCGGCAGCTTCTTTTACTTGACCAATGATGACCGTTACATGATTAAGACAATGAAAAAAGCTGAAGTGAAAGTGAGTATTGCTCAAGCTGTACCCTACTTGAAATTGATGAGGATTGAGGCACTTTTTTTTTTCTTTTTCTTTTTATTGACTTATTTGGCTGTGTTTGGATTTCAATTGTAGGTGCTCTTAAGAATGCTTCCAGCCTATTACAACCATGTCCGATCCTTTGAAAATACATTAGTGACTAAATTTTATGGTCTGCACTGTGTAAAGTTAACTGGAGCTGCTCAGAAGAAGGTGCAATTCTTATTATTGCTGTGAAGATGCAGATTAGCATATTCTATAAACTTATCAGACATTGTATGTGATTTTTTCAGGTTCGATTTATCATAATGGGAAACCTATTCTGTTCTGAGTACACCATCCATCGGCGCTTTGACTTGAAGGGTTCTTCACTTGGCCGTATCACAGATAAGCCCGAAACAGAGATTGATGAAACCACCATCCTTAAAGATCTTGATCTTAATTTCATATTCCGACTTCAAAAATCTTGGTTTCAGGAGTTTTGCAGGTAACAGAAGATTTCATTCTTTTTCTCCATTCTTTTTTTTAAATATTTCAAAGACAATAAATGTTATTTGCTTTTTCCATCCTCTAATTAATTAGACTAAGCACGCTGGTCATGTTTTTCCCCACAGGCAAGTTGATAGAGACTGTGAGCTTCTGGAACAAGAGGGGATAATGGACTACAGCCTGCTAGTGGGTATTCATTTCAGAGATATATCAGAAGATGGGGACCTTATTCCTTCAGAGTCTTGTAATCCTACAGGTGGTTCTATTGTATGCTTCTATGAAGTACTCTGCAACATTTTTATGCAACGTTTATATTCTGCTGAACTAATAACGAACCTGTTACTCTCTTCAATCTCAGGTGATACGGAGGGCGGTGGAACTCCTCGCATGTCAAGAGCAGACATGGACCAACTTCTTCTAGATCCTTCAAGGTAAAATTTATGTTAAAAAATGTTGTCTTATGCCATAAAGACTACACTCATAAATGTGCTTATAACAACGCAATGGGGTATTTTCAGGTGGGCTAGCATCAAATTGGGTGTGAATATGCCAGCTAGGGTGGAAAGAACGGTGAGAAGAGGGGATTGTGAATTACAGCTTGTTGGAGAACCAATTGGAGAGTTCTACGAGGTTGTGTTGTTTTTTGGTGTGATTGACATACTCCAAGACTATGACATAAGCAAGAAGCTTGAGCATGCATACAAGTCCTTTCAATATGATCCAACCTCAATATCAGCGGTTGACCCCAGACAGTACTCAAGACGTTTCCGTGACTTCATATTTAGAATATTTGCCGAAGACACTTGAAGAAACACATCAACCATCTCTTCACTCTTTTTATCCTCCCATGCCACCCCCTTGGACTCACTTCAAAGCCTAAAGTTTCAAAACTCTAAGTTTTCAATCAGTTGGGTGGCCAGACGTGACTTGGTATCTCACTCCTTCAGACTAACTTTCCTTCAACTATTCTTTCATTACATTCATTTTATGTATTATATGTAGTGGCTATGTCATATTTCTGAACAAGCCAGGGAACACACTCACACGTGTTGGCTAATTTGACAGAATACCTATAGACTTTCTGACTAATTCATCTTTACTCGTAGATGCATAAGAGGGTGATGGGGAGTTTCAACATTTGTATCACTTTGAATTGTACATAGGAGAATTCAAATGGATAAATTGATGTATATGTTCACTTTTTCACTTCTCTGCTTCTTTCTATAATCTATTTGCGTTGTATCATCAGAACTAGGCAGATTCTTTTGTATCAGCTGATTCTTTCTGTGATGATAAAAATCGATATAAATTGTAAAGATGGTGTTTGAGAACAAAGAAAACCTTGAAAAGAACACTTGCGGTTGGCTGGGTATCTTTCAATGTATGGTAAAAGGATGTGATAAATTGGCTTGTGGACCATACTTTTTGGTGATGAAACTGTGGAGGCAAAACAATGAGGTTGACAGCAATAGGAAAAAGAGAAGCAAATTGAACACCAAAATCATCCATTATATGCCCTTAGGAGTCAGAAAATGAAAAAGACAGCATAAATTGGTTATTCCTAGAGAACAAAGAAGAGAGGGTCAGTTGGCTCTAGGACCCCCAGAAAAGCCATTGGTTTTTCTCATAACACACAAACAACCATCAGTTTCTTGTGTCACCAACGCTTCCAAAATAATTCTTCAATTCATTTCTTTTGAAGAACAAACAATGTTGAACTAAAACACACACACACACACAAAATTAATGGGTTGGTGCTGTTTAAAACTGCAACCGTGCTGCTATTTTAACTTGTAACAAATCTGCAAGTTGAGCTGAAAGTCAACTAAGCATCAGAAAAAGCACTACACCCGTTTGTTTTCTTTCAGTGACGCAAAACTCCCTTCACACATTAACATTTTAAAATAATGAAGATTTTTTTTTTTGGGGGTGGGGTGGGGGCTTACGTCTTTTGCGATTAAAATATCACAATTTCTGGATATTAATCAACCTCTTGTACATATAAATTTGATAGCTAACTCATATCCACATAATTGGATGACAGATACGTACAAGAGATACGTTGCGTCTTCCAACTATCCCACCCATTAGTTTTATTTCCTTGTCATTTTCCAGATTCTGAGTAGAAGCATCAGATAATCCTTGTTGAGATTTATAATTAATCGAGCTGTGAATCAGTTAACAATGGAGGGAGCCCATATGCGTATAAAAAGCTACTGAGCAAAAAAGCTTTTGCAAGTTACGTTCTAAAAGGTTATCTGATATTTCCAAAAACTCTAAAATCAGTAGCCAAGTTCACCACACCAAATCACCAATTGATATCCACGTGACCGTGTCAGTGAATACCTGACATTGTTAACACGTGGATACAAAATTAGTGAAACTTTTTTTTTAAAAATTTTTTCTCTATCAAGTCGAATTTGAAGGGGAAAAGGATAAACACAAGATTAATAAATAATAATATTAATTAATCCGGAAACATATAAATGCAAACTCAAACGCCGATAACACGGGAGTGGAGCTCGTGTCAGCCGTCTTTTGGCGGGATCAAAGGGGCGATTCGTAACGGACAAAAGGAGAGGCTTTTTTTAATTGTGTAATTGCTGATAACAGCGTTGCTCCGATTCCGCTACGTGTAACTCCGAGATAGTGTAATTTTTTATCCTGTCTTGATGCTTTTTTTTAACTTCTAAATATTGCTGCCCCTTCCAACAAGCGATGGAGAGATTCTTGGAAGGAATTTCCCCCGAGGAAGTATCAGGTGCACCCCCGCTTCACCAGGGCTCAATCCCTATAACGTATCCGATCCCCTAAAACAGAAAATTCTTTTAATAATTATCATGCACGTACTCCTTAATTCTTTTAAACTGTTTTCCGGCAAATTTACGAGTTGTGAATATTAATTGTAAATAAACGAATTTATCACCTTTCGTGATTTTTATAATTATTTATTATCTAATATTATCAATTAATTTAGATTTCGATATATATATATATATAAACTTTAACCCGTAGGAGATTTAAAATATAAAATGATTTAAATTTAAATAAAAAAATTAAGAAATAATAAGATAATAGTGCTCATTTATTTTGTTTTTATATAATGTAATAAATAAAATATTATGAGATATTGAATCCGTCTACGAAGTGATTTTTCTAATTTAGGCCGCTCCCATCAAGTACTTTCTACCATTTTAAATTTTTAACATAAGAATTAGTTGATTAATTTAAATAGATTAAAAAAATTTGTTGAGTTAGTTACTTGTAATAATTAGGTGTTATCTTTTTTAAAATGTCCTTAATAATTATATATTAGCTAAAACTATTATTCAATTAAACATTTAACATACCATAACTACATTAAAAAAATAGATAAATATAAAAAACAAAGTAAATTTAAATCGTATATTTAAAATTAAATTGGATTAACGAGAGTATTATTTTGATTCCAATCAATTACTTTATTTGCCAGCTGTTTTCTAATCAAATTAAGTTTAACTGATGACTGATTGCAGTGACTGGTCAGCATTCGTGTTGACCATTTATCATCAATTCATCATCTCCAGGCCAAATGAAAGCGGCCATCTGTCTACTGTCTCTGGTGGTGCTTGTGGGTCAAGAAACCGGGAGTCACAGATTTAGACTGTAGACCGCAGCACAGCAGAGTATAACCCAGAGAGTGAGGGAGTGTGGTGGACGAAGGCAAACTGAGAAGCAGACACCAGAGTTGCGTTGCTGGTGCTGTATGTGAGGCCGGTGCTTCCTGACCTCTCTTCTTTTTATCCCCCTCCCTCCTCTTTCTTTCATCCATTCTCCGCTCCACACGATCCTATCTCTCTCTCTTCCCTCTCCCCCTCCCTCCCTCCCTCTCTCCCTGCCCGCCATGGCGTTACACTCAGCGTCTTCCATAGCACGACTACACCACACTAATGTGCATTCAGACGTTGTTCCCTCCATTTTCGCCTCCGGCAGTGGCAATTTACTTGTCGACTTCACGGGTTGTGCTCCAAATCCAAGCGAGCCAGACGCAGATTAGGAGCCTTTGCGTCTCGCAAAGCTTTTCAGCATTACTTGACGAAGAACTCGTCGCCGGTCAAAGCCGTTCTTGACCTTGAGCGTTGCAGTAAGCTTCTTGATGATTCTGCTACTTCTGATTTAAAACCACAGGTGCGTATTTTGCCGATCGTCTTGCCGCTACCGGCTCCCCCCCCCCTTTATCCCTCAATTCAAGTTTGTTTTGTCGATGTTAGAGAACTTCGTCTGTACTGAGGTCTTGCCGTTACGGAGCCCATACTTCTTCTGTTTTTTTCCCCCATCAAACATCCTCTCCGGCTAATAAATATACTTCATCGTGGCAAATAAATCCGTCGTCTAAATTGGAGAAAAGTCTCTTTCTAAATCATCGGCCTGTAATTCTCATATCGTAGTGTTTCATGAGAGATTTTTCCTGGTTTGGAAGATAGAAGTGCCCAGCCGTGTATAATGTACAAACATCAATCATTGCATGATTCTGACTATACA